AGGCGAAGGTTCGGAAAATTTTTAAAAATATTTTACAAATTCCAAACTCATTTAACTACCTAATCAAATTGTCTGTGTACTCTCTCTAAAATTTTTCCCATTACCTAATATTTTCTGCAGGAAATGTGCCAAAAAAAATTTAAAAATCCATTCCGTCGCATCAATTTTGCATCAATGTCGGCATAAGTGTTTCCGCAATAAAAATCAAATAACATTGAAGCCAATTGTAAAAAGTTTCGCACACACACCAAATTAATTTGAGTGCATACACGTATATGCATAAATTTATGGACCGCAGCGCTCGAAAGCGTTAAAAGTAGCGCACAAATATATTATTTTCGAAAAAAATTTATAATTTTTGTATAAATTAGTCCGATATGACATAGAAAATCATATTTGTAATTTTACAGTTACATCAATACGTATATTTACGCATACATACACATATATGTATATATATTGTATTATTTGTATATGTATATATGTATGTACGCATATGGACATCTGTACATAAACACATTTCAATATCTTGCCAAATGCTTTTGTTACAATTTCTCAATTTTTCCCACTAAGCAGTTATTGTTTGTTGCTAATATAAATACAATTTTTTTTTTGTATTGTACGTGTGTATATTTATGTCTGTATGTACAGCAAGCATTTCTTTTCATGTGCAGTGCATATAAAAATTAATTGAAATGATTTTTACAACGGTGTAAAGTTTTAAGTCATAAATTTTTGTATTTTGACGGTCAAGCAATCATTAATAATGTGTACATGCACATTAGGGTGTGCGATTTTTTTTAGAAAAATATGCAAGTAAAATTTTTCTGATTTAAATTTAAACTTTGGAATATAAAATATATGTATTATTTTTCAAAGATTTTTGTTTACTCATGTCAGAAGAAAAATTAGTTTTAAAAAAATTAAAAAAAAATCGAAGCATATACGAAATTATTATTTTTTTCGTTATAAATAACATTTCATCAAAAATTATAAGTTCTTATGTATTTTAATTCAAATTAAGGATAAGCTGAAAATTTAAAAAAGAAAGTATTGGATGAGTGCATAAGTTCGTGCCCGATTTCAAGTGCAAATTAAAACTTAAATTTTTTGTTTTTTTTTCACTCAACTGATGTGGCACCCATGTATCGAGCTTCAAAGTGTACCCAACCTTTTTTAAACGACGAAACGCAGTTGATTTGTTGACGTTCAATTCACTGGCAACCTCTTCCGTCGAAATACGTGAGTTATTCGCAACTAAAGTCCTTAGAACATCGTCATCAAGCTCAGAAGGCCGTCCACTGCGAGGTTGATCTTCGAGGTTAAAATCTCCAGAACGAAATTTCGCGAACCATTTCTTTACTGTGCGGAGTGCTGGAGCACGGTCCAAATAAACTTCGCGAATATCTTTAGTTGCAGCGCCTACTGTTTTTCCTTTGCGGAATTCGTATAACATAATATGACGCATATGATCTTTTTCGTTGTCCATCTTCCATGCGTCTTTTCACTAAGCAACTCAAATCAAAATGAAGTTATTTTATGCTTGATTTACAGTTCGGACTGTCACCTTTCCAATGATATATAATATGTATATATTTCTTTCACGAGCGCCACTCTCAAACGATTCGAACGGCATCCAGCGGAATCGGGCACGAACTTATGCACCCATCCAATATTTGGGCTTGTAAGCTGAAATTCACGCTAAAAAATGTATTAAATCACTCAAGCTCAAAGTTTTTTAGATGTATATATTTTTTTGTTTAAAACCAGAGAAAAAATTATAGAAAACTCTCTCAGAATGTTCTCGATAGCGAATATTGCAGACGCGCTCTATTTGGAAAATGCTTTAGTAATCGGCCTCGACTTTCACCACACATTCGTTTCTTGCCTTATCGCCACATTATTAATTTTTTCCATTCCCTACATTTTATTTCCATAATTTCGTTTCTTTTGATCACCCTCATATACCCTTTCATTTACCTATTTCCGTACAAGCGAGATTGGCAGTGAATAGCGGGAGAGGTGACTGACAAATTTAAGTGAATGAATAATTAAGCTTCCATATGGACATATGGACATGTGCTTTATATGCGTCCATTTATAATTGCGCAATAAGTGAATGTAAAGTCTGATATGCAAATTGTATATATAATATATACGTGTATATACGAGTACATGTACGTATAAAAATTTATTACACAAAAAAAGTATCACAAACATTTCTAACCGGTATGTAAAATACTAAGATAAATGAATACTGCATATGAATGTACATATGTTTGTATATTGTAATTGTGAATTATGCTCATTCCGGCTTGTTGTGCGTCAATATGACTTGCAATTTTTGCCAATTAAACAGAGAAATTGAAAAAAGAAAACAATAAATTCACGTAACTTTAGTTTCTTGTCAATGTTGATTGGGGCTGGAGAGATAAATGAATGACATTGATTTGCTGTACAGAAATACATAAAATGTTCAAAAATATATTTTATTTCAAAATATTAATGTATCTAAATAATAAATATGTATATATGTACCTAAGACTACTGGAAATGCAAGCAAAACTGGCAGAACATTGAAGGGAAAGCATGAAATTAACTCATTAAATTTTCGACTGAAGAAAATTAATTAAATTAAATTCATAGAAAGTTTTATGAAAACACAAATTTTATAATAAATAACTTAATAACTAAAATAAAACAATAAATAAAATCATATCCAATATTTACATACATACATATCCAAGTAAATTTATTGAAGTAGAATGCATATCCAGTTGTCAGTTAGACATGTCAAAAACACTTAGACTTTCGATCACTCAACTTGAAACGTTTTGAGAGACATTTTGTAATTAAATTGTTAGAATTATTCAATAAACATTCCTAAACCGGATAATGGAAATATCAGCTTAGACGGCTGTTTTTAAACAAAAATATTGTCAATAGAGGAAAGCTTATATATAATTATATATATAGATATATATATATATATATATANTAAAATAAAATAAAATAAAATAAAATAAAATAAAATAAAATAAAATAAAATAAAATAAAATAAAATAAAATAAAATAAAATAAAATAAAATAAAATAAAATAAAATAAAATAAAATAAAATAAAATAAAATAAAATAAAATAAAATAAAATAAAATAAAATAAAATAAAATAAAATAAAATAAAATAAAATAAAATAAAATAAAATAAAATAAAATAAAATAAAATAAAATAAAATAAAATAAAATAAAATAAAATAAAATAAAATAAAATAAAATAAAATAAAATAAAATAAAATAAAATAAAATAAAATAAAATAAAATAAAATAAAATAAAATAAAATAAAATAAAATAAAATAAAATAAAATAAAATAAAATAAAATAAAATAAAATAAAATAAAATAAAATAAAATAAAATAAAATAAAATAAAATAAAATAAAATAAAATAAAATAAAATAAAATAAAATAAAATAAAATAAAATAAAATAAAATAAAATAAAATAAAATAAAATAAAATAAAATAAAATAAAATAAAATAAAATAAAATAAAATAAAATAAAATAAAATAAAATAAAATAAAATAAAATAAAATAAAATAAAATAAAATAAAATAAAATAAAATAAAATAAAATAAAATAAAATAAAATAAAATAAAATAAAATAAAATAAAATAAAATAAAATAAAATAAAATAAAATAAAATAAAATAAAATAAAATAAAATAAAATAAAATAAAATAAAATAAAATAAAATAAAATAAAATAAAATAAAATAAAATAAAATAAAATAAAATAAAATAAAATAAAATAAAATAAAATAAAATAAAATAAAATAAAATAAAATAAAATAAAATAAAATAAAATAAAATAAAATAAAATAAAATAAAATAAAATAAAATAAAATAAAATAAAATAAAATAAAATAAAATAAAATAAAATAAAATAAAATAAAATAAAATAAAATAAAATAAAATAAAATAAAATAAAATAAAATAAAATAAAATAAAATAAAATAAAATAAAATAAAATAAAATAAAATAAAATAAAATACATTAGTAAATCAAAACAAATTAAAATAAAAAATTTATCAAAAATAAAATAACATAAACTGAAATAAAATACAATAAAATAAAAATAAATAAATTAAAATTATATAAAAGAATTGAACAGAATAAAAAATAGTAATATTAATGAAAATAAAGTAATTGAAATTATTTTAAAGAATAAAGCTTTGCAAATATGCTTTGACTCTACTAGAGCAAAATCTTCATACAATTTTCTTTATTTTTTTACTTTACGTATTGAAATTCTGCCAAAAAGTCATTACGAATTTACACATTTTTCATGTGTTCCTTTTTTATTGTGCTGACATATGTTAAAAATTTTTAATAGACCATAATAAAATATAGAAAGTTGTAAAAGTGATTTTACGATAAATAAATTTTCGGTTTGCATAGCATACTCGTACATGGTTATTTAGGCGTACACGTAGACAATATTTAAATTTTACGCCGACTGTAAGGGAATGTAAAATTTTGTTTTAAAATGTATATTGTATGACTAACTGCAATATGTACATATGTTTACAATGAATAATTTTTTTATTTTGACTTATTTTTGGTTTCAAAAAAAAAGAAATAATGAAAATTTATTTCATTCATGCTAAAATAAAAACAAATAAGTAAAGTGTGTGTGTAGGTATTTTGTAGACATTTATGAAGCAAATTTTGATAACTCTTCAGGGCGAAGTAAATATCTCTTAAGCTCTAATCCTGTTAAAAATAATAAAAATTTCAATATATCACATTTCACTTGGCAAATATCTTTTAGTTTTCTGAGAATTATTTACAGTTGTTTCGTTTGTTTGTTGTTTTGGTCAGTTAATTAAAACACATTTAGTATTGCAATAAATATTTTATATATTGATATTATCTTTTCGAACAAAATTTTGTTATGTTAAAATTAATTTTTTTTTTTCATACAAATTTTTCTTTTCTGCTTTCAGATTTTCATGATCTGGTCTTCTTAATTAAATTGTAAAATGGTAAGTTTAGTTTTAAATTATTATTTAAGTGTTTATATATATAATGTGTATTATTTTATTTAATTTAATAACTGCAACTGCGACAAAAACCATTGGAAAAGCATAAGAATGGGATGCCGTGAAGTCCCATTAAACAGTGTAACAGTATATCCGTTGTTGTATTAATTGTAAGCCACTCTAGGCAGATTAGACACAACTGACAAGACATACCAAAGCTGTCTAGTTTGGGTTTGGCTGTTTTGGTGCAAGCCAGACTGAGTCTGAGGCAAGGGTATGCCAATGACGTGCATAGAATTTCTTGCAATGAGATTGATACCATCACTCGCAGCTTTTCCGCCATACAGTTGCCTGGGATATTCTTATGTGGGGCCATCCAGACCACGATATAAAGCATCTTGCTGATAACTGGTTTCACATTTCAACGTCGCCACTTATAATGTGGTGTAATTACCTTGAAGAGATCTGATGGTTGCTTGACTATCCGAGTATATACTTATTTATCGATTTGCCACCATAGATCCCAGCAATCATTCTGTGTCTTGACGGGTTTAATCACCAAGTTTTGCCAACAGCTGTTTTGCATTCGTAGAGTTTCGGCCTTAGTTGAGCTCACTGATCTGATATTATCCCGAAATATTTGACTTCGGTAGAGAGAGGAAATTCCAGTCCTTTTAGCTTGGTTGCTTAAAAGGGAAATGGTTTATATCTTGTTGTGAAAATAATCATTTCGGTTCTTACGGAATTGACATCTAGCCCACATACCCTGCTCCGTCTTTCTATTACGCTTAGGGTATTATGGAGTAAACCACTTAAAATTTTAACGATGTTGCACGGGACTACCTTGTTTTAAGTACTGAGAAGCACAGGAATGAAAGAGGTTTCGCACAAAATTTTATTCACCAACTAACACATGTCTTATTTTCTTCAGTTGTTAAATGCTGATAAAAAAAGTTTTTAGTGTTTAAAAATTAATAAAATTATAATTAATAATATTAAAAAAATAATAATACAAAATTTAAAATTTAAAAATAAAGAATTTTAAAATATAAAATATTGTATTAAATAAAATTAATTTTTTTTTTTTAATTTTTAATAATTTTCATTTTAATTTTAATTATTATTTTTTCTGAAATAAGTTAAATTCGATTTTATATTGAGAAAAACCAGCAAAGTCTCAAAATATTTTCTTATTTGTAATTTCCATAAAATGTCATGACATATTTGCCATACTAAATATTCCAGACAAATTTATTTCGACATTAGACAAACCAGTTGACAATATTTCTAATGATACTGTAAACATATTTATATACAAACATACACTCACACATACACACCAGAGTACAGTGCAATTGCGGTAAACAAATTACAAGCGTTGCGACTATAAAAAACACGATTTGTTGTGAAGCATTTTTATTGTATTTAACGGTCATGTTTGTACATTTATTTTATGTGTTTTTTTTTCTTATATTTTTTTTTAATTTTTTTTATTTTTTGCCGTTTCATACATATTATATATACGTGCAACCGATATACTCACATTAAACAATATAATTTGCATTCAACTCTCTTGGTATATATATATATATATATATACATATGTACTTTTATATATACATATTTACACTTGTAAGATGTGTGTGTATACTTGAGCGCCGTCACATAAACCTTTTTGTCAACTTACAAATTAGTTGACACCGTTACGGTGATTATGAGGGGCTATAAAGGTATATCTCGTCTGCGGGCGGGAGGGAGTGGAAGGGGATTGAGTTGAGTAGATGTTAAGCTACGCGGTGTAAGGTACAAAATTCGCGCCAAGAATTTAACCTCAAGTTGTTATTATTGTTGTTGTTGATGTAATTCTTGGCATTACTTGGCGGCATATTTGGCAAGACAATAAAAAATAACAACAAAAGCACACTGTCATACATTTTATATAAGTGTTGTATTAACATTTTTTCGCGCATTTGTTGTTATTTGTATTTTTTAATTAAACATTTTTTAATTTTAAAATTTTGGAAATTTTATATATGTTTTTTTTTTAATTCTGAAATTTTCTGTAATTTTTATTTATTTATTTTTCTTTTTTATTTTGATTTATTTTTATTCAAACATTTGTAAATTTTGATATATGATTTTTATTTATTTATGTTAAAAAATTATATTTTCTGTATTTTTCATTTACATAATTTTGAATTTTATTTCTAATTGTTCTATTAAATTTTTATATTTTTCTTTTAATTTTTTTCCATTTTAATATTTATTCTAATATTTGTAAATTTTAATATGATTTTTTTTATTTATTTACTTAAAATAAAATATATATATAGTTTCCTTATTTTTCAATTATTAAATTTTGAACTTATTTCTAAATATTCTCTTAAATATTTTTAAGTTTCTTTTAATTTTTTTCTAATTATTCTTTTATTTTTTTTTTATTCTTCTTTTAGTTTTATTATTTTTTTAATTTTTTTTTATTCGAATTTTTATTCTAATATTTTTAAATTTTGAAACATATTTTTTATTTATAAAATTTTTCTTGTATGTAAATATGCAAATTCTGTATTTTTCATTGCGTTAATTTCCAAATTTTTTTAGTTTTCTTTTAAATTTTTTTTCTAATTTTTGAAAATTTTGATACGTATTTTTTTATTTTTAAATCTGTTTTTAATTTTTTAATGTTTTTTTTGTATTAGAAGCATTTATTAGACATACATGCTGCTTGTTATGAACCGTTGTAAGCACACACGTTTACACAAACGTTAACTCACATACCCACACATACACTTATTGTGTAGTTTGGTTGTCTTGTTTTTATTGTTGTGGCATTACAAATGTTTCTGAGTATACGAGTATACTTAATTATTTTGCTTGTCTCAGTTTTATTTCATTTGTCGCTATTAATTAGCTAGTATACAAGACTAACAACAACAAGAACATCTACAGCAGTTATCCTTGTTTCGCATGCGATTAAAATTAACAAATTGTATGTGCTTTGAATTCACTTTTAATTTGTTTTTGATTAGTGAAGCATAAGTTTGAAGAGGGTTTTATTACCGTTGTAGTATTGTGAAAAAGTCTAGAAAAATAAGAACACAAAAACAAAATAAAAAAATGACTAATAAAGTAATAAAAAAAAATTGTATGAAAAAGTTTATAATAATTTTTTAAGCAAAGATGAAATAAATTTTTCTGTAGACAAATTTTACCTATGAAATGATAGCTTCGATCTTCTTCTTCTTCTTACGCTTTCACGATTGTAGCCGGAAAGTTATTAGTTCACCATTCGTTTCTTTTTTCCACCGTTCCGCACTAATCGGAGTCACCACCACGTGAAGCTTAATCCTTTTTCAACAACCTTTTCCCCCGAATAGCTGGTCTTTTTCTTCCTCTGGTTCCCATTAAATCGACTGAATTGTATGTATACCTTCAAAGCTTGGGCCCTCTCATTCGAGTGCGCAACATAATCTAGTCAGCGTAGCCGCTGTCTCTTAATTCGCCGAATTATACCAATTCCGTCGTATATCTCTAACACATCATTCAACTAATTGTCTGTTATCAAGCATAAATCATCCGCAAAGCTTTCTAGGGAAGGCTTACCTCACCGGCCGTTGTCATTGTCCAGTTCTCCGTACCATAAAACAAAACCGGGTGGGAGATTTGTAGAGTTTGGTCTTTGTTCATCGGAAGAAGAGTACCGGCCCAACTCATGCAGCACCAAACCCATTCATGTCACTTCTTTATCCAGTCTGAAGAAAACAGAACGTGGCTGTTGAAGACAATGATTTGAATATCATCGGCACACGCCTGTATCTGTGCGCTTTCATCGAAGATTATACCTGTTTTGCTCTGTAGCTCAAGGGTTGTGTTAAAGAAGTCACGCCATCAACAGTCACTTTATCTGAAACTTTCCTTAGTATCAAACAGATTTGTTAAGTCTTTCCGGATTCTGTTGAAGCTTTTGGTGTTTCTGTTCGTCAGTTTACATGGGCGTAAAAGTTTATTGGGGATTCCAAATTCAGAGATTGCGGTCGCGAATGGCCTTAATACTAGAAATGAGTACTACAAAAGTAAACAAGCAGGTTAAGTTTTACGGTTGCTCCGCGGAAGATATCCTCTTTGTTTATTATTCGTTTCCATTGGAAAGTTCCAAATTGATTTCTGGGTGACTTCACTGAAACTCCCTCTCTTTTATGGGAGAACTAAGATTTCACTCGACCTAATTACCACATTTCGCTCAAGACTTCTCACTTTTCCACTTTGAGCGGCGCGTTGAGAATGCTACAAATTGTATGTTAGGTCTAGTAGTTGTACCTTACCACCATGGAAAGGATTATGCGTTCGATTCCTGCGCGCCAAATATCCTAAGAAATATCAAAAAAATTATTATCGCGCTCGCGCCGCGCTAGAGAATATCAACTCTGGCAGAGTATTTTCGTGACATGATATTTCAATCCATTAACTCTTCGAAGGTGGCTTAGAAATAATATTCAGCTGCCTTTATTTGTTGGTAAACTATCAAGATTCACACTACAATTTAGAAGAGTAATTTATTGCTGAGAGGTTTTGTACTCTTTAGTTACTCTGCTAATATTCATGAGATACAATTTGATGAAGACAGGCTTAAAATCTCTTCAAAATCAAAAAGAAAACAATTGCATGAAGAAAAACATCTGGAAAATAATTAGTGTGCTTAGAACTATCACTAAAAATAAGAGAAACATCAAGGAAAGATTATATTTATTTAGTAAGCAGGAAGAAAATCTCAATCGTACTCAGTACTTTAACGTACAATTCAACAATTTTCAACGAGGCATAAAAAATAATCCCGGTAGCATAACCAAAAGTTTACTGGATATAACTTAAAGCGGTTCTATAAAGTCGACGACCGAGAGAGATTCGAAACAGAGAATTATATTTTGCAGCAAATTATTCTAAAAATATTCCCGAAACCACAGCTATTTCTGCTTGCCTTCAAACACAATAACCAAATCCACTCT